AGGGGCTGGGGTTGTGGCTCAGTGGTAGAGCGCTTGCCTAGCATGTGTGACACTGGGTTCGATTCTTATTCTTTCATGTATAAATAAATGAAAATAAAGTTTTATCAACAACAACAAGAAGTCAACCCTGGCACAACTCCTCACTCCTCTCACCTTGTACAAAGAGAATTGTAAAATTGGATTTCATCCCAGAGATGTAGGGATTTCAGAGCAAAGCACCTGCAAGGTAATGAGCAGGAAGGAGAGCAGACACTGGTGTCCCAACCTCATGCAGCATATGGAAATTCACAGTGATGCCTAATCACACTGTGCTTTCCCCAGGGCATTGCACAGTGGAAACTTGAACTTTGGGGGCGTGGGTGCCACTTTATGCCACCTGTATGATTTTGCCCAAACCACTCATCCTCTCTTGTCTTTGGCTGGGAATCCCAATGATAACCACAATCAGATATTACTGTCATATTGAAAGAGAAAGTGGGTGCAAATGCCTTGGGCAAACTAAAGAGCTCTGTGGGAGCTTAGGCTGCAATTGCCACTGTATCTGCACATGAGACTGGGATCTGGCAGTGCAGATCAGTTGTGACTGCCCGCGATCACAGCAGACACCAGGCCCCTGTGCAAGGTTCTGAGGAAGAGGACGCATGTGACCATCTGACAATCCTCATGTGGGTGGGGAAGAATTATCCTTAAAATACTGGATATCACCTTTGCTACTTTATGAATGACTATTTGCCTTAGTAGCCTGCCTGCTTACTGTAAGCAAGTTGGACTTGCTGCTGGAATGATTAAGAAAACATTTTTAGATAAGAATTACGGGGCAATGATCCAATTGATACACATGCTGTGTAAAATCTGCTTGGGGCTATACTGTGCCTTGTCATTTTTATGAGCATATTTACAACTAAAGGTTGGTCTCAGGTTATCTACTTGTATATAACTCGGGCTCTGTGGCCTCAAGTCCAATATCTATGTTGTAAACACAGTTCTGGTTAAAAGCAAGACTTCAAGAGCTGGCAGAACTTGCAGAGGAGTCACGAGGCCTGCATAGCCTATTCCTGGCACCATTCACAAAACCATCTGCCCACCAGCCGGGCCTCAGATCCTCTCTGAAATTGTGACTTTAAATGATCAGCTCTGTAATTAGTACATATGGGTCTTCAGGGTGACATCCCTGGAATTTGGAAATCATGTTGCCCTCTGGAAGTTAAACCCTTCAAGTGCACACATGATGGACAGGATTAGTTATCTGTACAAGGCTCCAGAGGGAACATGCTGTCTCCCTGGTGAGAGCCGGAAGAGCTGTGCTTGGAAATTCAATCCAGGCATGCCTGCATGTGAAGGAAGCAGGGGCCTAATTAAATCTCAGAAAAGCTTCTCTGCAGCAGGAAAGTGGCTGTAAAGAGTCTATGAAACACCAGAGAGGAAGGATCTGCCTGCTCTGGAGCACAAACCACCAGAGGATAGCTCCAATAGGCTGCGGTGAGAACGGGCCCAATATCTAGGAAATCTACAGGGAGATAAAACTGTCCCTTCTCAATGACATTATTAATATATCACTTGTAGGACTCCCTTTGTCCCATTTTATACAACAATAGTTTTTGATTTCCAACGCAAGGTAAAATATTTCCCAAACAGTTGCCGAGTATCTTGGGCAGTTATATTTCTCATTACAAATTAATAAACTGCAATTTTGAGTAGGCCCCTTGGTCTGGGTTTGCCTCTGAACCTGATCCTGGTTTTAGACTCACAGGGCTCTGCAGTAAGTATGTGGTAGCAAACCTTTGAACCCTCTGCCTACATCTTCATATTTGCTGATTGGCCACAGCCTCAAAATCCTGTTCTAGTGTTATATATGATCAGTCAGTGGAACCTGGGATAGGAAGAGGCCCTGTGGCCCTGGCCTTGGATGACTCGGCTGTACACGGTAACTGTTTCTAATGGTAGCAGCTACATTAAGCATGATTTCAGGAAATGGCAAATCAACTTAGGTTGTCCCAAATCAGGGTTATTTTCTGGAGTACAGTCATTTTTTTATTCATCATAATGTATATCAAAAATAGAACAAGGAGTATTCATCATGTCATTTTCTAAATATTGCTTGCCCACGATCTAGCATCTAGTGATGGCTTTAAATTCCTGCGTAAGCAAGGAGCGACATACTTTCGAACTCAAAGATCTTTTATAAATAAACTGAGCTATGTCCCTTGGGCAGACACTTTAAACTGGGCCATTGAATATTATATTTATGAACTGTTTACATAGGTAAGGTAAAAACTGTTACAGTCAAGTGCAAATTTAGAAAATAAACTTTTAAAAACTATATTTTTGTATTCAAAAATAGGCCCTATATAGAAAAAAAAGGTGGACAGATTCTAGGCCCCCTTTTACTTTTCTGACTTTTCTAAATATTCTGTGAATATTTATTGCTTTTATAGCAAAATTAGAAGACATTTAATTTTTTAGATTATCTTTTGAAGAAACATAAGCAACCAAAAGGGAAGCTTTTGGGAAAGGACCCTGAGGATTTTTCAATAGCCTCTGTTTTCGGAGGCTATTGAAACATCATAAACAATTTTCTCATGTGTTGTAAATAATACAGAAAAAAAACACCCTGGGCTGGGAATGTGGCTCAAGCGGTAATGAGCTCGCTGGGTTTGATCCTCAGCACCACATAAAAATAAAGATGTTGTGTCCACCGAAAACTAAAAAATAAATATTAAAAAATTCTCTCTTAAAAAAAAAAAAATCCTTCCTTGGCTGATCGAACTGCAAGACTGAGGACCTAATAAGATGGCCACTGGTAATAGTGGACCTCCAGGACAGCCACCACCAAACTTCTGCCACAACCACAAGGGAACAGGGAAGGCTGAGGACTGGCCTAACCTGACTTGCCCATGTTCAGAAGTGTCATGACAGGGGCACACTCAGTCTGCCTTTGCCAATCCCTAGTGCCTGACCACCTTGGCCTTTCTGGTAACCAGGCAAGATGTAATCTGTTATCGGAGAATGAACAAATGATAGGTGGACCCAAAAAAGCCTCAACAGTCTGACATCACAAAAAACGTAAAACAGTAAATCTGGATCTTAGTGAAAGCTCTCAAGTTTTCTTTTTGTCCTGAAACTAAATGACTCTTATTTTGATGAACACTCTTAAGATCCCCCTTCACTCCTACCGGTGACCCAAAAGCAGCATTGACTTTTGCAACACGTTTTGAGCACTTGAAGTTTCTGGGGCAGATTAATTTTTTGCCTCTGCAGCAAAATAATTTATATTTAAAGTCTACTCCAGAAGAATATGGAGTCGCATCACTAATACCAACCTTTCTAGGTCACCTGCCCCTCCTACCTTTGAAAGACAACAAAGCTTCTTGGGAAATAAGTTATAATAAGCAGGCCAGCTTCAAACTTCCTTTCTTAATGATGTCAATACTAGACAATTGGCTCATATCTGTCCCCACTTCATGAGGCTTCCTAATGTATGCTTCATTACCTGAGAAAGGACATAAATAGGAAAAAACTGGGGCTGGCTTAATTTGACACACCTTATGTATAAGGGTACACTAACAGCGGTCATAGTTAGATCACCTTTGCAAATCCTAGTGGTCACTTCTTTTTGGTAGAGGGGATTGAACCCAGGGGCACTAAACTGCTCACCACATCCCCAGCTTATTTTTTGAGACAGGGTCTCACTAAGCCACTTAGGGACTCACTAAATTGCTTTGAGGCTGGCCATAAACTCATAATCCTCCTGCCTCAGCCTCCTGAGTCAAAATTAGAGGTGTGTGTCACCATGCCCCACAATGTTCACCTCTTTTGACCATTTTTCCTGCTTACTCTCCAATCTCAGAATTCTATTAACAAAGCATGTGAACCGTGTCATCTCTGGGAGAAGTATGGTTCCTCTGATTCTCAGCCCAAGACCATCAGGAGGTCTTTGGGGGTACTGGGTCCAGTTAAGACTTACATCTTGGAAAATGAATAAAATATATCAAGGGACATGCTACTAAGAGATACCTAGCACCTCTTGGAAGCATTACTGGAACCAAAGGCATTAAATCAGAATGGAAACTATCAAGGAATGTGTGTATGGTCTCATCTCACAAGGAGAATAAGCCAGAAAAACTCACAGATCAAGTGTCAAGGGACAAAACATATTCCTCATTGGAACATAGGAATAGCCCCATAGTACTTTACTTCTTGTTGATGTTGCAAAGCATACCCAAGGGGACCCTGGGCTGCCAGGCACAGTGACACACACCCTATTATCCCAGCAATTTGTGAGGCTGAAGCAAAAGGATTACAAGTTCAAAGCCAGCCTCAGAAATTTAGTGAGGCCCTCAGTAACTCAGTGATAAAATGCCCAAAATAAAAAAATAGAAAGAATTGGGGATGTAGCTCAGCGGTAAAGCACTTCTGGTTTCAATCCCCAGTACAAAAAAAAAAAAAAAAAAAGGACTCTGGGCCTATGCGATAAGTGACCTCAAGCACAGAAGGTCTGCATCAGACCAACAAAAGCTGGACTAATGGGAATCACACAGCACAACAGGATCTGGGAAAACAGATATGTGGGAACAGGGAGATGGATAAACCAAGCTGCTTTGGGCACATGGAGGAGCGCAAAACACTTGAATCAATGGACAAAGATGCTGGCAGAGCCTTGTGCCCAGATGCAGGCAAAGCTGCAGCTCTAATAGCTCTCAGCTACTACCTCCCTTCTGTTCCAATCCCTTGTACTCGACCACAATTCTAGGGTCCAGCCACAAGAATGCACTTCCCCTCCTACCCACTAAAAGTCACTTTTTGATGGGGACTGTAAAGTGCAACTAGGGAGTTCTCTGACCACTGGTACTCCTGGACAAGTTGCAAGCCCTGACCTATGGGCAGAGCAAAGTTATGCCTTGGACTACATGTTGGGAGTTGCATAGGAAAGGGATCAAGTCACTGCAGCCAGTAACCAGATATGTCCTTACCCCTGGAGTAGGGAAGGTTATACAACAGTGTCGGGGCTAAATAGTGATGCATATTTATTCTGCGCCTAATCACAGCAGATCTCATACAGGCAGATCATGGCCAGGCTGAGGCTGTCATGTGGCTATGAGCAATTAGAGGAAAAGATCACTGCTCAGCTGCTCATGGTCACTATGGCAGGAAGCACTGCTTTGTGGGGCCTACTCAGAGGCACTGAGGTCACAGTCTCATCCCCAGGAACTGGGGATGTCCCTAAAAAACAGTTTCCATTTGGAACTTCCAAAATCCTGGGTGTTTCTGGGAGCCAAGCCCTGGTTCCAAAAAGTCATTCTGAGTCCAGGTTGTGCCAATCCTGAGTACTCGGAGCTGATGTCAAGCAGCGTGGGAACTGAAAGGGGGCCTCAGGATGGACCATAGAGCAGCGTAGGAGCAATGGAGCTTCAGGGCCTGCGATCCTTTCTGCGGAGTTTGTGTCCCAACTGGGACCCCCTCTGGGCAGCTTTCACCAGACCTTTAAATTGTCCCTGTAGCTTCACCTTCTTCCTGCAGGAACAAGGAAGAGAAGGGTCTTAACAGGTGGATTCATCTCCTCTTAATGTCAAATGATGACCACCCCCAGCACCAGCAGAGACAGGAAGAAGGGGGCTGCCAGGGTGGGCAGCACATAAACTGGGGCAACCCTGTGCAACCCCAGTTTCTACATGGCATGTGTCCTGCCCAGGCTGTTCCACTCTGGCACAATCCCACCTGGAACAGTCCTCCCCTCACTGTTCCTCAAATGGACAAAAAGAACAAAGTTCACTCTATCCACCCATCCTTCTTTCTAAAGGTTGACTTTAAGCCAGCATACTGAAGTTTAGAACCCTGTTTACGAGTAACATGCATTTGCCAAGTATTCCTACATGGCATCTTGTATGGCTCTCACACTTAACTCAGAGAACCCTATTTAACGCCCAAAGTAGAAATGATTCTCATTTCCCAACAAGGGGATTAGAAAAGCAATTACCCAGAGCTATTATAGAAATGACGAGCATATAAAATACATATATACAAGAAAATCTCTGAATTGCAAAATCATGCTTAAAAAAGCCACATACAAGTAGATACCAACTACTTGCAGGTACATGCTAAAAAAAAATTCTGGAAGAACTGAACAACTGAGTTGATAATTCAGTGAGAAGAGGGCGCGCTCTGAACACGGAATGCCCTGCCCTGCCCTGCCCCACACCACCATACCTGCGGTTGAGCTTGGTTCTGTTGAGGGGGATGTAGGCATAGGGATCCAGCCGACCCTTCTTCTTCACATCACCCTTTGCCTTCTGCTTATCCAGAGAAACAGAGTCAGCTGGGAGTGTGGGGTTCCCATTGCTCCCCATACTGACTTCATAGGCCTCTGACCTCCCTTTCCTTCATTCTCTGCTTTGGATGGCACCAAAGAGCTCCTGTGGCCCTGGAAACCATTTACCAAGGCCCCCAAGTTCAGAGGCCAACAAGACATGGGTATGCCCCTTCTTCCCTGGCCTGTCTGGTTCCACGAAAGTGCCTCTTGAGGTCAGTGATGGGCATAGCTCCTTCTCGCCCTCCCTGGCACCCATTCATTACCAGGAGACCCCCACCTGCAGCCATTACCTTGGATTTGTATTCAGCCCCAGGAATGGCTTTCTTGCCCACGGGGCGATGAATGCCAGAGCCTCCGGCTGTGAGGAGAATAAAGACTACAAGTCAGGCACAGCAATGGTAGCACCCTTCTGGGGGACAAGGGACCCCTTCTCCAGAGGGCTGCTGGAGAGTAGATGAGCATAGGTGAGGAACTCAACTCTATCCTTACCAAGCAAGGGCAAAGTCCTCCCTTAAGGGAGCATCTGCACAGAGACTTGACAGACCACTAGGCTCTTCAGACTGACCCAGAATCCCAAGAGGCCTACTAATGATTTCTGGTATTCCTGACCAACATAAAATGACCCACATTCTCCAAAGTTATACCTGTTCCAATTATTTTAGAATAATTTGATTTTTATTTATTTATTTTTGTGCTATTGGGGACTGAACACAGGGCTTTAGGATGCTAGGCGAGTGCTTGACTGCGGAGCTACATCCTCAGTAGAGTCATCCCCCTGAACATAGGGTTTGTGGTCAGTGCACCAAGGTTCAACCCTCAGCTCTGCCACCCAGCTCATTTTAAGATTCCCTACTTTTTGCTAGGTGCAGTGGTGCATGCCTATAATCCCAGGGGTTTGGGAGGCTAAGACAGAATTGTGAATTCAAAGCCAGCCTCAGCAAATTCGAGGTCCTAAGCATCTCAGTGAGACCCCATATCTAAATAAAATACAAAATAGGGCTGGGATGTGGCTCAGTGATCGAGTGCCCCTGAGATCAATCACTGGTACCCTTCCTAGTACCACCCCCCCCCAAAAAAAAACCCACAAAAATTCCCCACTCTTTTCTCATTTGGGCTCACACCTGTACTCTGAGAATCAAAGGCAGCTATTAATCCCATTGAAAAGAGATTAGAAATCAGGGTCTTGTCTAAAATCAGCTCATTTTCAGCTTAGACTTTAATCAGAGATGGAATTCTACAATGCCAACTCCAGAGGACTCTCTGAGAAAATTAACATGAATCCTTTTTTTTTACAGATGAGACAGAAAGGCAGTGTGACTGGACCAAGGTCACACAGCTAAGCAGCAGCTGACCTGAATCCTCCTGCCCCATTGACTGGTACTGCTTCCTCTCCCCACCACATCATCTCAGTGCACAGTAGGTAAGCTGCGTCTCAGCTTGTGGGGACAGAAGAAGAGTCACAAGATTCTCCACCAGGGTCAGGATGCTATGGGACCACTCTTAGAATAAAAGTCTTCCCAAAGAGCCCCTGGCCTTTAAATGTACAGCAAGGGCTCTGGTGCAAGGGTTTTGGGGCAGGGCCCTGCAGGGGCACCTTGGAAGGAAGCTGAGAAGTCACCTTGGCATTTCTAGTAGCTTTTCTGGTGGTTAACCTGGGCCTCAGAGACAAACATAGAAGGGAACCCAGGAAGGGCCAGGCCCAACACTAATCTACCCAAGTCCTGTCAACCTGGACCTGGCCTGAGTCAGGGCTGGACAAGAAAGGCCTGGGTGGGTGGGCAGCACTGGCCTCAGGAAGAGTGGGGGTCACGTGCACAGCCTTCTCATCCTTGACTCTCTTATTCCTGCCCAGCCCAGTCCTGTCAGCTAATCTATGCTGGTGCCAACTGAGTACAAACCGGCTATGCAAACTCAGGGCTCTGCATCCCTCCCTGCCACTCCTCTGCCTGGTGTAGATGACAGGAATCAGTGCCCCAAAAGAAAGAAGTGGAAACCTCACCTTGGTACTGAGGGGGCATCTCCAGCTCCTCCTCCTCAGACTCTTTCTGCTGCTTACGCCTCTTCTTCTATTAAAAAAAAAAAAAGGTAACAAGCAGGAAGTCAGTAAAAAGGGACATAACATGTTCACTAATGACATCAGTACTGGCAACAGCAACCTACGTTGAACATGAGTGTCCCTCCATCCTCTACTTACAGATAAGGAAAAAAGGCCCTAAGGGCAGGTTACACAATGAGGCTCTAATCCTTATCCTGACCGCAGGCCTGCCTCTCCACATTAAATTCCACCCCAGGAACACGGGTACCCATATGGTACCCTAAAGCCAGCCCAGCCCCTTATTTCCTAACAGGGAAAATGAGGTCCTAGACCTCTCTGGAGGGAAGGCCTTCACCAGCTCTTCAATTCTCACAAACTCCACTCAAACTTTCTCACTGGTTACTAATGCACTGATCCTTCACTCAGTGCCAGGCCCGGGGACATGGGGAACAGGACCCAGTTCCAGTGGGAGACCCCTGCCCAAGCTAGTCACTACAGTCCCTCAACATTAGAGTCCTAGCAGTTATGAGCCAATAACAAGGTCACATGGAGTCATCCAATTATACTCTATAGCAGGCGATGAACACCCGCCCAGGGCTGCATTAGGGCTGTGCAGGGAGGAAGGCCAGTCTGGGGCTATGCTGCCCACTGGAAGCCTGACAAAACTGCAGACTCCAAAGGTATGTAAGCTCCAAGGCCAGGGGTGCCAGGTAGAGGGACCAGAAGGAACAGGTTGGAGCACACAGGCTGTGTCTGAGCATAGGGCACCAGTTGCACTGGCCATAACCCAGCACAGCGGATACCTAGTGGAGAAAGGAAAGTGTTCCAAGGAAGTGTGACTCAGGCTTCTCTGGGGAGGATGATGCCTGAAATGGTTTGTGGTTCAGCTGACACAAAGACAAGGCCAGCCAGCCCATCCCACTGGCCTTCCACTGAGGCCACTACTGGCACCCCAGCACATCAGGCTCCCACAACTTTGGAGGGAGGAGAACTCAGCAATGGCACAAGAAAACCACTGGGTGGTCAGTGCAGGAGCTGTCATCTTGTCATCTCAAGACAAGATGCCCCAACCCTGTCCTGCTCATGGGCCATCCTCATTCCCTTGGCCAGGAACGAGTAGGCTGCTGAGGGACTACAGGACATGCTGAAGGAATCAGGGATGCCTTGACAGATCAAGATTTCCAAGAAAAATGAGTAATGATTATAAAGAAGAGCTGTGACTGACTTAACTTCACCATATGCCAAGCACATCACAGAGAAACCTGGATTTGAGCCCAGGCAGTCTGGGGTCAGGGACATACTCATTTGCAGGCTACTACTGCTGCCTGGAAAATAAAACCAGATGGTGGCTGAAGGTGCCATGGAAGGCCAGATCTTGGACCAGGGAAGGGAAGAACTCCCAGGTGAGGGAGATATGCCACATTGAAACAGGCTCAGGAGGAGGCAGGGAGAGTTTTTAAGCAGAAGAAATATACTACTGCTCCAGAGCACTCAGAGGGGCTTCCTGCATGACGGGCCTTCGTTTTTTTTTTCTTTTCTTCTTTTTTTCCCTTCCAGCACTGGGAATTGAACATGCTAGGCAAGGGTCTACCACTGAGCTATATCCCCAGCCCTTTTTATTTTGAGATAGGTTCTAAGTTGCCCAAGTTGGCCTCAAACTTGTAATTCTCCTGCTATGTCTCCTGAGTACCTGGGATCACAGGTCACCAAGCCCTCTTACATCAGAGTCTTCTAAGATCCTTAGTCACTCTCTGATATCAGAGTCTCTTTGCTTAGTTTTCACCCAGTTTTGCAAACAGCAATCTGCACTGTTTCAACACTTAGTAGCTCCTTGGGAAGAGGCAGGCAGAGGGCACTGGGAAGGTATGTGGGGAAACTGGGGAAGTTTACCACAGGTCAAAAATGTACTTTACATGCTCAATTTGATCACAATGTCCCAGTAATTCTATGAGGTGGTCTACTTAGAATCCCATTTTACAGGCCAGGAACTGGGGCTTGGAAAGGTTAGCCTGAGGCCAAGATGTGACCCCAGAGCCTTCCTCTTTAGCTCCAGTACTATTGCACCCCCAACTAGGCAGCTATAGCCTAAAATGATGCCCGAGGGGCTGGATGAGCTGGACATAGTCTGGAAGAACAAAGACAAAGACACCTCTCCAGCATGTTTCCAGAAATGGTGTCTGCCCTTGGAGCTTGGGCCACCATTCCCCTTGCAGCCTGCAGAGCACATGCCATTCACAGATGCAGAGCCATTTTTTTCTTCAACAGGACAACCAGCCAATGCTGAAGGTCACATAGGGGTGCTTCAAGGCATCCAACCCTTGAGGACCCACTGAGTATTTGAGGAGCAGCAGGCACAATATCCCCAGGGGACAGGTGTGAAGCTGTGGGGCCCAAGCTGAGGTCTGAGGCCCTCTGACAACAGCAACTACTCACACTTCTGATGCTCGCATCCTCCATCAGGTCAGCCATCTCTTCATCCTCACCTGACATCAAAAGAAGACAGCCCTGTGAACACTCAGGGCACCCCCAACTCACCCTTTCCTCCTGGCTCACCAGGATGAGGGGTACCAACTCCAACCCCAGAAAACTGCCTTCCCCAGACCTGTCCTTTTAAGGGAGATAAGACCTCTGAACACTGCCCCCTTTTTCCCATCCTAGGCTGCAGGGATGATGGCTCCTGAAGGAGTAGTGACCCAACTTTAGAAGTGAATACAGCTTTTTTTTTTTTTTTTGAGAATAAAGAAAGTCCTAGGTTTCCTGGAGAGACTGCCCAGACCCACACATGCTCCACTTTGATAGGACTGCTTCATTTTCCTACCTGAGAGCCTGTTTTTTTGTGGTTTTTTTTTTTTTTTAATAGTACTGGGGACTGAACCTAGGAGCACTCTACCACTGAGTTATACCCCTACCCCTTTTTATTTTTAATTTTCAGACAGGATCTTGCTAAGTTGCCCAGACTAGTTTCCCACTTAAAATCTCCTTCAGTAAGCCTGTCTGGTAGCTGCATGCTCCACTGTTCCCAGCTTGAAAATCTTTTCTTTCCCCTGTGGGCACATAAAGAAGTATGAAGCCAACCATTTGGAGGTGAAAGAGATTCAGGCAAAGTCAAGAAATAACGAAAAAATAAACACACCCTGTGACTAGATGCTAAAGATAGGGTGAGAACCTGAGCTGAATCCTAAAGAGTGGGGAGGCTTTGGAAAAGTAGAAAGGCAGAAAGGGACTTCCTTAGCATCAGGAATAGCCAGGGATCAAGAGGACAGGAGAGTAAAGGAATGACAGGGGAGCAGAAGATCAGCTACAGAAACATGCACGTACTGTATATATTCTATAACTTCATCTTCCCAACAACCCTGTGAAGTAGATATTGGCATCATGCCCATTTGGAGTAAGGACATACAAGCTGTTAAATAAGTGTCTATAGACACACAGCTGGCAAGTGAGGTGCAGGGGAAGCCCTGCGAGTGCCAATTAGTAGGGCAAGTGAGTCAAGAGCCAGTAGCTCAGCCATGGGAACCAAAGCATTTCAAAGGTAGAATTTATTTTTTCAGTGCTGGGGATAGAATCCTGGGTCTCACACACACTCGACAAGAACTCTACCATTGAGCTACATGCCCCGCCATTTTTAGTTTTTATTCTTGGGGACAAGATCTTGCTAAGTCACCAAGGCTGGCCTTGAACTTAAAATCCTTCGGCCTTAGTCTCCCAAGGTGATGGGATAACAGACATGCACCACTACGCCTGGCTCTCCTGTGTTTACCAATGCTTCCTTAACATATGATCACTGCATGGAAAGGTAGATGAACATCAAGTGATTGAACGAATTAACAAGAGCATCCCTGGCCTGGGCCAGAAGCTGCTGCATTCCCAGGATGGACATGTGGCTCCACCTTTAGTGGTATCCTCTTCTTCCACCTTGTCATCGTCTTCCTCCTCCCGTATGATCAGCCGGCCATCAGCGCTCACCTTGAAGCCATGGTCCTTCTTCTTGCTCCGGCCAGGCCCAGGCTGTGTGGCTGGTATGGCAGAATTTGGCATGAGGAGGAGGAAGCCCAGTCCTAACCCACTGGCACCCTCCTTAGAACCAACACGCCAGGTCTATGCTCCCAACTGGAAGCCTCTCAGCTTCTATCTACTAGCCTATCACAGAAGCTAGCCCCTGCCCACCCACCAGGAACGCAGCACTAGGGCAAACCCAGCACGGGCCCACTAAGCTCATGGGCCAGCCACTTCTTTCTTACCAAGGACTCGCTGGGCCACCTTGGGATCCAGGAAGTTGAGAGGCTCATCCCCTCCTCCCTCCTTCAGCCATGCCCGGCTCCTCTGTCGTGCCAGCTTCCGTTGCTCCTTGCCCCGGCCCCTTTCTTCCTCCTCATTGTCCTCCTCATCTTCTGAGTCAGCCAAAATCTCCTCAATGCTAAGGACAGAGAAGCCCCAAGTCAGAGCACTCCCTGGAGATGCAGGGGTCAACTGGGCAATGCCTGGACACTCTGGGCTGGAGGAAACCAGGTCCCCAGGACCCCACCATGATCTTACCTGTCACCTTTACTCTGGGCAGGCTCCTCCTTCTCTTCTTCCTCCTCAGCAGCCTGGCTCAAGGCACGGTGCCTCTTGGCACGGGTCTCAGCTTTCCGGATATTTACCAGGACTTTGTGGTACTCCTCAGGCAGCAGCCCCTTCACCAATTCAAACCTGAGAATGGCAAAGAAGGGCTAAAGAGAGACACTGGCCAGAGAGCACTCCTCAGAGGTAGGAGGTATTCAGGGATCATGGACCCTTCTTCCCTTCAGTCCCTGGGGGGACTAGAAATCCTCAACTCCGGGCTTGCTCCACCCCCACCCCCACCCCCATTCAAGTGCACACACCCAAACTTGCGGATGAACTTGGTGAATAGGTTCCGAAGCTTCATGCGGAAATGCCGGCGCATGTCATCTGAAAGTTTCCCAATGGCTTCCATCTACCAGGCAGAGCACCAGCGTGTCAGGAGGGTGCTATGCCTTCCATCCCACCCACCTCTCACTGATGTCCACACCAGAGACAAAGCAAACAGATCCAGCTAAAAGGGGAAGGTTTGAGTAGCTCTCCTGGCTTACCCCTTGGTTCAATTGTGCTTCCAAGAACTCTGAGCAGCCCCATCTTTCCCATAAATCCCCCTTCACAACACAATCAATGACCACCCTTCCTAAGATGACAGCTTAAGTCCTTTATTTGAAAAGGGTCTCATTAAGTTGCCCAGGCTGACCTCAAACTCACAATCCTCCTGCCTCGGTCTCTCAGCACCTGATTACGCCTGGCTGGCTCTGGCCTTTCTGAGCAGTGCTTACACTCTACATACATTCTCTGACTCTTTACAACACAATGGGACAGATGTTATGACTCCCAATTTATAGATGAGGAAACCAAAGAACAGTGTTACATGGCTGCTGAGAGGCCACAGGGGCAGGAGTCTTACTTGTAGAGCCCATGGAGCCCACTTTGCCTAACATCATAACCAGACCCAAAGATAGCTAAGAAGGACCTGGCAGTCTAATGACTCAGCTGGATGGGAGAAACTGGGCAGTGGGTTAGAGCTCTGTCCCAGCTTGCTGCAAGCCTGGGTAGGCTCTCTCTGGGCAGGACAGGTCAGTTACCCACTAACAAAGGGTCCTTCGGACCTTTCTGTAACCTAGCAGGTGCCCCAGCAGGGTTGTGCTAAGGAACCTTTCCAAACTGGGAATTGAGCTGGGCATGATGGCCCACATCTATAATCCCAAATACTTGGGAGGATCTTCAGAAGGATTGCAAGTTTGAGGCCAGACTGGAACCTTAGCAAGATCCTATCTCAAAAAATAAAAAGAGCTGGGAACATAGCTCAGTAGTAAAGCACCCCTGGGTTCAAAGCCCAGTTTAAAAAAATATAGCACACACACATGTATATATAAAAAAAAATTTTTTTAAAAAGGACAAGTGGCCTTGCAGAGGCAGAGACCAGAGTCTGAGTCCTGAGATTGTGACCCTGGAAATCTCTGGCCTGTTTCCTCATCTGTATGAGGAGGGGTTGGTTCTACCCATTGGTCTTTGCTCTGCAGAGCAGTAGCTTCCATGGAGGACACAAGGTAAAAGGCAAACTGGACATTGTGCCCCTCCCTTCCCTTTACCAAGTTGGCACTTTCATACCAAGTCCCTTCCAGGGCTACTTACTGACCTGCTTCTGCACAAAACTAGGGCTAAAGAGAAAGTTTTTAATTTGATAGCCTTAAGGCTAGCATGACACCCTAAAGGACATTGCCACCCTCTGTGGGAAAGGGATCCTTACCACCAGCTGCACATGTTTGGCCAGGTGCACCACATCCATGACCACCACGGCCACCTTAATGAAGCCCAGTGCAGACTTGACCACATCACGAGTACGGGAGGCCAGCAGTAGGCATACATTCTCCAGCAGCTGCTCTATTGTGCTAGTCCCCATCATTCCTGAGATGAAGAGACAAGAGTCAAGAGATACCAGGACCCCACCTGGACCTAAGTTTGCCCAAGGACAGCTCTACCTGCCCTTGCCAAGTCAAAACTTAGTAGAAGCAAACATTTGGAGATTTTTGTGTGACTGGCAGTTCTAATCACATTCTATAGAGTGCCCTTGTACCCTTTAGTCACCCATGGGGACGACTCAAGATAAAAAATGGAGATTCTAGGGCTGGGGTCATAGCTCAGTAGTAAAGTGCTCACCTAGCACATGTGAGACCCTGGGCTTGATCCTCAGCACCACATAAAAATAAATAAATAAAATAAAAGGTATTGTGTCCATCTACAACTAAAAAATTATCATTTTTTTTTTTAAATGGAGGTTCCAATAGGTTAGTAAAGTTTTTCAACACTTTACATGGCTGGCAGGAGCCAGGAGCAGAACTAAAAACTGGAAGCTTGCCTACTCTATCCTACTCACAACTGACAGGGGACGCAGAGTAGCAGAGCCACACTGTTTCATGCTGGGGCAGGTGTGAGGAGGCAGCCTCAGCATACCCACCAGGGGAGAAGGCAGAGCTATGTGAGAAAGGAGACAGGGAGGCAGGAGGAATGTTTCCCCATTCTCGTAGCCACCCTGTCCCAGAACACCTTCCTACCTTAAGGGCTTCCCAAGCCTTCAAGGAAGTAAATATTTACCTTTAAACTCGAAAAGGAGGTGAGTCAGGGCCAGAATGCTGCAGCTAACCATGGTCACTGGGCCCACCAGGCCAGGGTAGATCAGGATAAGGTAGCGCTGTAGAGCCTCTGGGGGCAAAAACTAGAATGAGTCACATGAGGACAGGGCCCCCAAAGAGAGGAGCAGCCTGCTGGGACAGGGCAGGGCAGGGCAGGGAGCTCGCTCCGTGTGTTCCCTTTGACAGCGTTTCCGAGGGAAACTTACCCATCCTACTACAAGCAAAGAATCCCCCTGGTTAGCATCACCCAAGCCTCACCTTCCTGGTTAGAGCCGAACCGCAGGAAAGCATGGCCCATCTCCACCAGCAGGGCAAAAGCATTCTTCCGAGCACCCACCGACACCTCCTTGGTGCATAGAATCACCTGGCCACGACAGTCCCATTAGCACGTACCCTCTGAGTCAGCCACCCTGGGGTGGGTTGCCCAGAGTATAGGGGCAAATAAAGGCACCCATGTGCCCAGGTGGCAAATTGAGCCCACACTCACTGCCCTGCCCATATTATGACAGGCTATTGGGGACCATCCTTTAGGAAACCCACCAAATGCACATATACCCATCCCACACCTCACCTCTGGGACAAGGGCGGTGATGAATTCCTCGTGCTCAGATGACAATTTCTTCACAATATGTATGAGGCACTTCAAACGAGGCTGTGGGCAGGGAACAACAGTCAGGAGCCCCTCTGTGCCAGCCCATAGCCTGCAAACGTCTCTAGTGGCTCCTCTCCCAGTGTCCTCCCAGGAAATAACCCGTCCTCCCTTGGCAGAGCTGGCAGACCGGCACCCTCACCCTCTTGGCGGGAGAGGACGTGCTCCGCAGTGAGTCCAACAGGGTCTTCTTCAGCTCATCCAGGTGGGTCTGCACAAAACGGGCCCCAGGTCCCTGGGGGCTAGCACAGACTTCCTCCAGCACACGGTAGGCCTTCTTCTGAACCCCATGGGCCTTGTTCTGTAGTCAGTGCATGGAGGACAGGGACAGGTGAGAAAGGAGACTTGTATCCACCTCTCCTTACAGTGACATTCCAAGAGTGTCCACTGTGGCTCGCACTTGGGGGAACTCAGAGAAGAAGCTAGTCCTACCCATCTAGTCTGGAGCTCATGAAGTCTGACAAGAGGTCTGGTGAAATATGGACACGTTCCATATTCCACCAGTGGCTAATTCCTATGCTGGGCATGGGGACAGTGGGTGGCAAAGTTATTCCACTCACTACCTCTAAATGATGCACATTCTAGCAGCACAGCCTGTGGCCTGCTACTTTTTCTAGCTGGAGCAGCACTGCTCTCCTCCGTCCCACTGACTCCCACTGTTCCTGAGATACCAGGGAGCAACCCTGACATGGATCTTTATGTCCACCTTCATGTTCCATCCCAAGACACTTTTCATCCTAACTGCTATTAAACTTCAGCAGTGGGGACAGCTCTCAGAATAGCACCGTTGATCTGAGTTCTGAATGGCAGTCAGTCACAGGGTGAAGGAACCAGCAGATGCAAAGGTGCATGTGGCACCTGCTCTATTTGGGACTCTTAAAGCAGCCACATGAGGCTGCAGTGGGATGAGGATGTGGAGAACTGGAAGGGATAAAGGTCAGCCCAGGCCAGGATGGGCCTAGTGAGTGAGCAGGCAAAGGAACACAGCCTGTTCTACAAGAGACACCCTAGCAGAAGACGTTGCAATTCAGTTGCCTTGGCACCTACACTGATAGATGGACAGGACAGAGTACAAGGCAAAGCCACTGTAGAAAACAGCAGACTAGACTGATCTGGGCAAGGAGCAAAGACTGAAGAATAAAGACAGAAACACCTTCTGAAGCCTCATCTCCCCACAGATGAGCTTGTGTGGGGCTTACCTCTAGGTAGGGCCGGATGGTAGAGTATAGCTTGCTGATGGCAGCTTCATCAGCATGAGGAGCCAAGGCCACAACCAGGTCCAGAACAGACAATCTGCTCAAAATAGGAGACAAAAAAAGAATTTAAGTGAAGCTGGAGAAGAGGTAAGCTATCAGTGTTCTTATGTTCTGGTTACAAGAATGTGGGAGAAGTCAGGGTGAGAACAGGGGGTCTTTAAGGAACTTGTGAGCAATAATCATCACTAGCACCTAATCAAGCATTCACAATATACCAGTCATAGCTCTGGTGCTTTATAAATGCCAACTCCTTGAAACCTCAAAAAGTATCCAAGAGCAGATACTATTATCATGCCCACTTTACGGATCAGAATTCAGAAACAAAGAGTGGGTAAATCATCTGACAAGGCCACACAACCCATAAGTGGTAGAACTGGGAATTGAACGCAGGCAGTGTTGTTCCCAGGGTCCTTGTTTCTCCCTTGCAAGCAAAAGGGCCTCTCAGGAAAAAGGAACTGTCCAACCTCTCAGTATAGCTGGGGCATTCAATATCTTAAGATTTCCCCCAAAGAATTTCACAGTGGATCCATAGGGTTTCTGCCATATGCCGCTCCAGCTCCCTGGGCTGCCCAGTTCAAGTGGGGAAACCTGAACACATTACCTGGTGAAGTCAGAGCTGGCAGGGTCAAGCACCTTCTCACTGGCTTTCTCCAGGAAACCATTCACCAACTAGCAGATCCAGAGGAAAAAAAAGGAGCAGTAGAAGCAGGTCCCAGAGCTACTTCCCCACCATTTAGGAGCCTCAGGCATAACCCAAGCCACAAGAGCTGTATGTGGTTCCATCTTCCAGATGGCAGAGACCCATGTGACTTTGGTAGGTGGGGACTCATCTTTTCCAACTTGTCCAACCCAATGATGCTCCCCTGAGAGCATTTGTCCCACTCCCCCACCAGCACACCTGACACTCAGTTATGGTGAGGTAGGTTTTGATGGTTTCCAGCACGGCCCGGCGAGGGGCTGGAGTGTCCTCGGCTGCAGTAGGCTGCCCATACAGGTTAAAGAGGATTGGCAGAAAGTTCTTGGCAAAGCGGCTCACTTCAGCACGGTCAGCCTCTGGCAGAAGGACCAAGGTTTGCAGTGAAGGAACATGAGCTGACCCTACTTCAGTGGCCACTGGGGTTGCAGCCCAGAGGTATCTATTCAGGGGATCTTGTGGCAGGATTTGGAAGCAGTGGGTTTGAAGTTTTCTGTGCCAGGATAGGCTAAGGCCAGGAAAAGAGAGCAGATGCCGAAATGGTCTGGGTTCCTGTGTAGCTCCTACACAGGGGCCTGTGACGCTGATCATGATTCTGCAGCAGGTGTTACACCCTGGGAGCAGGGGTGAATGAGCAAGGGCCTCCTACTAACTCTGTGCATCTCAAGAGCAGCAGCAAAAGCAGCAACACAGAAGTTAGCACAGAATGTTAGTTTCTGCAGTTATGTCTGTCAAATGAGCCATTGCAGGCCAGGAGATGGGGCCAGGGACACCTGCCACCCTCTCACCAGTGCCCACCCCACCTCTGGAGCCCACACATACCTGCCTCACAGCCCTTAGTGATGAGGGTGCGCAGGGCCTGGCACACAGTGACTCTCAAGTCCGGGCGCTCACTGATGGCTGTGCCTAGTGTTCTTGCCAAACCTTTGAAGGAGGTAGCCACATCCGTGGGCCTTGTGCAAAACCCAGGCAATAGGGTCCAGATCTGAGAAGGAGATAATAAAGGAGAGAATAACACTAACAACCCATGCCCCTGTGCTCTCCTCCCCATGCCTCCCCCCACTGACCCTTACCTGCCACTGGAGTGTGTCATAGATCCTGGACTCCACGGTGCTGCCTGCCTGGGCCAGCTCCATTGCTGGAATATGTGAAAAAGACACAGTGTGAACCTGGGCACCATCATGGCCTCATTTTACCAAAACCAAAGGCTCAGGGAGACAAGAGTATGGGTGATTCTCCCTTCTCCATAAATTATATCGTAATACTTATTCATTCTAAAATATTAGACCCATGGAAAACAATAATGGAGAGTAATTATAAACAATAACATGGAGAATAATGTCTCTCTATAATCTTACTCCCCTGGAGCTGGCTTCTGTTCCTTGTGACTTTTCTTATACTTCTTTAAACATAAGACATAAACCAGACTGAACTATACATATATTTTCTGTAAACTTGTTAATGTGATGATAAAGTTGGTAACATTCATTGAGCTTATTCTACATGGCAGTCTATAATGGCCATTTTATATGGTTATTTCATTTAATCCTCACAATGTAATTATCCTGCCCATTTTACAGATGAGGTGCAGACCCTGGGAAACTAAATAAACTAAATAACCTTGTCCAAAGTCACAGTGTTTTAGCCAAGTTGAAATTTAAATCTAGTTTATTTAACCACAATCTTCTAGGCCATCTATCCCTACCTACTGGTTTGTCTTTCTTTGTATGTTCTGCTTTATTTTTGTGGTACTGGGGACTGAAGTCAGGGCCTCACACATGCTCAACCAGTGCTCTACTACTGAGCCACATCCCCAGCCCTCCTTCATCCCAAAGCAAGACTTTACCAGAGCTGACTTAAGTGGAACTCACTGAAGGACATGTAGATTATGTCAGATTCTTTGCTAACAGAAACCACACTACTAGAAACATCTTTGCATGTACATAAAAGGGAGTATACATCTGTCTTGAGGAAATAGATAGCTACACACCAGTTTATATAGACACAAAGAACACTGTCAGGGCTGGAGGTGGAGATGGAGCTTAGTAATGGAGCATGTGCTCAACCCCCAGCCTACACACACAAAAAAATCTTGCTGCCAGTGTCTATAGTCCCTTATATTTTACATATATGAAAAAAAGAAAAATTTGAAAGAAAAAAATACATTAATGTTTTAGTAATTTTTTTAGTTGTAGATAGATACAATATTATTTTATTTATTTTTATGTGGTGTTGAGGATGGAACCCAGTTCCTCGCACATGCAAGGCAGGCGCTCTATCACTGAGCCCCAGCCCCAGCCACAGTAATAATTCTTTAATACATTAATGTTTTAGTAGTAATTCTTTAATTCTTTCTGGCTGGGGGAATTGAGTGCTTTTTTATGTTCCTCTTTAAACGTTTTCTGTATATTCAAACAATGTTTGAAATCAGAAAAAAGAGTTTCTCAACCTTGACACCATGGACATTTTTGGCTACATAATTCTGTGTTGTGGGGCTGTCCTGTGCATTTTAGGATGGTTAGCAGTATCCTTGTCCTATGCCCACTAGATGCCAACGGACCTTTCTCCCAGTTGTGACAATGAAAAATGTCTCTAGGCATTGCCAAATCATCTGTGGGCAGCAAAACCATCCTGCTGTTGAGAACCACTGTCACAGACCAGGGCAGCAAACTTTCTGTAAAGGGCCCATATTTTAAGCCTTGTAGGTCCTTTAATTTCTCTTACAACCATTTAACTTTGTCTGCCATTAAAAAGCAGTATGAGGGCTGGGGATATAGCTCAGCTGGTAGAGTAACTCATTTGCACAAGGTCCTGGGTTCAATCCCCAGTAACACACACAAAAAAGCCTTAATAACAGGCATAGCTGTGTTCTCATAAAACTTAAATTAACAAAATGGGCAACAGGCAGGATAGTTTACCAATGCTGCCCTAGACCCTCAAAATCCAATGAAAACAAAAGCTCCTGCAGCCATCACTAGGCCAAGAAATGTGAAGAAATGTGATCTAGTGCTAGTCTTGTCCCTCATATAGGTCTGGATCTATGTACCATAGAACACGAGTAGTATACAGAGAGAGAACAAGAAAATGATGGGACGAGAAACCATGTCCCAAAAGAAAGGGAGAGACCCAGCAGTTTGGGAGGCTGAGGTAGGAGGATTATGAGTTCAAAGCCAGCCTCAGATAAGCAAGGCACTAAGCAACTCAGTGAGACCCTGTATCTAAATAAAATAGGGATGGGGATGTGGTTCAGTGCTTGAGTGCTCCTGAGTTCAATCCCTGGTACCAGAGAGAGAGGGAGAGAGTCTGAGGACATGCAGCCAGAAGGACACTCCCTGGAAGTAATGATCATTTTCAAATACTTAAAATACATATGCAAGTGCATCTCTTGGTATACAGAAGTACAAATAGGTGTCCTTCAGCATCCACAAAGGAATGACTCTAGGACTCCTGTGGATACTACAATGGGCAGATGCACAAGTCTCTACATTATATAAAGTGGCAGAATATTTGCATACAACCTGCACATATCCTTCCCTTATACTTTAAAATTTTATCTCTAGATTACTTAATACCTAATATAATAACACATAGGGTTGTGACACTGTATTGTTTAGGTAATAATGACAAGAAAAAGAAGTTAGTACATGTTCAGTAGAGACATAATTCTTTCCCTGAGTATTTCTCATCTGTGGTTGGTTGGATCTGCAGATGCAGAATGCAAGGAATACAGAAGGCCAACTGTATATGTATAAACAAATATAGTATACATTTTGAAAAGTTCATCTCAAGGGCTATCACAAGGAAGAAAGAACAAGACTGTTTCTTATGATCCACAAGGGAAGAATAAGACCCAAATGGTGGCAGCTCAGCTGGAAGGAGGCCAATGTCTGCCCGCAGAGAGCAAAGTTCTGTCCCAGGGACAGAGGCCTGGCCATGCCGCAGAGTGGAGAGGAGGATAAGCCCTGCTGGGGAGGGCACTCAAGCTCTGGCTGGCCAGGTGTTGGCACAGAGATGCTGTCAAACATTCTAAAAGCTGGTATGCTGGACTCAGAGCCTTTTCTGGCCCCTTCAACTAGAGCTCCTGGATAATGGAGCCTCAGGCTTTACACAGGAAAGGGTTCCAAACCTTTGCTCTTCAGGGTGTTGGCCAGGGGCAAGAAATAGGTAGTGAAGAAACCAAGTCGTGTTTCCCGGACATGGTCCCGGATGACGGGCAGCAGCCAGCTTCGTGGGAAATCCAGAGTCTCTCTGGAAGGGAGGGAAGGACACAGTGAGGAGGTGACTGCTTGAGGGCCTCTCTACACAGACTGGCAGAATTCTTTCCCTGGGAAGAACAAGACGTCGACTCCTGGCACTTCTACAAAGCCAAACAAGACCACACTTACTCAGAGCCATCAATTTCCAGAGGCACAGCCTGTAACACCACCTCAGGTCCCATGCTGGTCACTGCAGCCCCCACTGCCTGATCTAGGGCTGCTGTGTGGGGGAAGTGAGGGGAGAGGCGCAGGTCACATAAGGACTGGAGGCACTGGAACAAAGAGATGAGAGGTTACACAGTGAGACGTGCACACAAAGCTGGAGCATGGGTCAGTGGTAGGTTATCTACCTAGCACGTGAGAGGTCCTAGTCTCCATTATCAGTAAGTGCAAGTGTGTGCACACATGCACAAAATAAATGGGTGTTGAACTGGGGGTGTAGCTCAATGGTAGAACACTTGCTTAGCATGACAATGTTCAGGGTTCAATCCCTAACACCACAAAAAAATCCAAAATAATAAAGTACAGGTGTTTTTTAATGCTCACAAGGTGACTAACTAAATCAGCAAAAATTTCCCTTTTCTCTTATCTGACCTTACTGTAGATCAATGTGGTGAGCAGGGACCCAGACCAGACAGTCTCCAAAAGAATGGGGCTTGGGATTCTAGGCCCAGGGTAAATGCCTCACACACAGTGATAACATCTACTGATGTGTCTGATTCCTCCCCCAAGGCCCAGAATTTTTAAAAATTGGTTTCAATTGGTTAAAACTAGGAGGTTTCACATGCAAATGTAAATTTCCAATTTACCTTGAAAAATGGTAGGTCTGGCAAAGGCAGACTCACATGCAACACAGAGAATTAACAGGCACTGAGGAGACAGAGAGCTATGCCATCTGGCTCCCAGTTCCCCAGTGTGGCTTCTCATGGACCTTGCTGGTCTTGTGGAGGAAGCCAAGTTTGCTAACCTCAATTAGGTTAGCCATTTGTTCAAGACCCTCCTTCTCAGGGTGACACCTTGTGTCAACCAACAGTGTGGGGAGTCAGTGAGGAAGGCCCCTGAGGTCAGCAGCTATTCTACCTGCTGACCAGGAGTCTGGGCTCCCATCCGCTCCTGGAGCTGGGATCTGCTCAGGATCCCTGGGTGATCCAGGATCATTAAATGATTTATTCTAGACTTGAGTAATCTCCCTAGAGCCTAAGGCTATTTAAAACACCAACACCATACTCCCTCATTAAACAAAAATTAGAGAATTGAAAAATCAAAGGCAAGGGCAGGAAAGGAAGAGTCATAGAGATTCCCTAAGTTGCAAAACCATCAATTCCAGCAAAGACGGGTGAGCAGACATTTGTGTGGCGAGGTACCTCTTAGCTCTCTTCCTGCTCCTCCCTGACTGGTCCAATTACCTTCTTGGGGACACAGTACCTGCATGGGCACTATCAGGGTGGGAGTGGGGAGTGGTATGCCGAGAGCAAATTCCCATTCCCCTTCTAGGAGCCTTAGTTCAAGGGACCCAGCAGCTCACTAGCTTACCTTCTTCATCACAGGATGAGCCTGCCTCCCACATGCCTCAAAGAAGACACATAGCAGCTGCAACACGGAGCTCCAGGATGCATGGAATTTGTACGTCAAGCCCTCTTCCACCGCCCTGCCAGGGAACAAGCAGAGTTAGGGTCATGGTCACATTCACCCATGCACCAACCAAGAAAAGTCAATGGCTACAAACATTTGGCTGGCCCCAGCAAAGGCAAGGGGGACAACTAATATTTGGAAAATGTCCACAATGTTCCCTGTGTTGAGTTGAATTTACACACTCTTAGTGCTTCAAGAAAAATCTGTGAGGAAGTAATCTGTTCCATTTTCAGATCAGAAATCTGAGGCCCAGGGTCACTCTGTCAGTGTACTACCCTCCACACTGTGAGAGGAGCCATTCACAGGCACACTGGGCCTACCACACTGGGCCTCCCCAGACTGTTGTCTGTCATTATCCCATACCTTCTTTGATCTAAAGCAGAATGTATGGTAGGAACAGGTGGCCTGGGCAGAGGGGAAAGCCGCTAGCCCTTTCCAGGCTGTGCACACCTTCATCTGCACCATGTCCCCATGATGTCCATCCACTAAAGGTTTCAGCATGAAGAATTGACAGGGGACAATGTGGAAAGGATGTGGCTGTGAGGTAGTTAAGTTCTTGAAATTTCCTGAAACCCTATCCCAGATGGATAAGAAACAGGCCTCTGTCCACCATGGAAGAGTCACCATAGCACCAGATCATGAAGCTAAACAGAACCAAAAAAAACACCCAGGCCCCTAGCCTCTTAACTGGAATTGCTCAAGGGGGCTTGGCACTCAGCTTCCACACTGTCCTGCTGGGAATCAAAGGTGGCTGGTGGCTGTATCTGAGAATGGCTCCTCTCACAGTGTGGAGAGCAGTGCAACACATGGACAAAAGAGAGGTCTCTGAGGTCAGCCTACCATTGGCTGGGTAACCTCCACTTCCTGTCTATAAGATGGGGGTATTAGAGATCTCCTAGCATCATGTGGATCACTAGTAGTTACAGCTACTGAAAGCTTGACCATGTGCCAGGTACTGTTCTGAGAGCTTTCCTAGAGCTACCTCATTCAGTCTTCACTTTCTTGCTACTCCCCTTTGGCTGATGAAGACCCTGAGATTTAGAGAGTTATGCAGTTAAGAACCGAATCAATCCCAGCTCCATGGTAGGAGCTCCAGGGGCAGGGATCCAGAATCCATACTCTTATGCTTCATATTATGGTGCCTCTCCCAGTGTAGGCACTCTGACACAAGCAGTGCTCCAACGACAGGTACCCTGAAATCCCGGACTGCCTGATGCCAGGCACCAAGCTCACAGTAAGTGGTAAGTGAAGCACTATGTAGAACATTCTACTACAGCACCCCTCATGCCTTCTTTTTATTTGGAGGGCAGAAGGTTACTAGGGATAGAACCCAGGTGCACTCTATCATTGAGCTACATTTGCAGCTCTTTCTAATTTTGAGACAATTTCTTGCTATTTGCTGAGGCTGGCATTGAACTTGTGATCCTCATGCCTCAGCCTCCAAAGTAGCTGAGATCACAGGTGTGTGGAACCAGGTCCAGCTTCTCATGCAATCTTATCATGGACACCACATGCTCACCTAAACATCTTGGCAATATACTGGGCAGGACCTGAGGCTGAGACGGTCACAGAACCGATGTTAGCCATGTGTGGAGCCACACATTCCTTTAGTAGCTCCTGGGGGGGAAAAAAAAGAAGACCACAAGCTGTCTAAGTCCCAGGCAGCCCTAGGAGCACTCATCCCTGCTAGATGATTACTTCTGGAAAGTTCTGAGAAACCTATCTTCCACTGTGAGAACGCCACCAAGACTAAACTGGTGGTCTGAGATGAGGTGGCAGAACCACTTCTGCTCTCCACTTCCTTAGTTACAGATGGGGTTGGGGATGCTGCAGTACCTTGAGAGTCTGGGTGGCAGCTGTCACCACCTGTGAGTGAGGGGAGAGAAGACAGGTCATCGCAGTTCCAAAAAAACGAGGGAGGTGGCCCAGTCCCAGGTCCCGCTGCAACCTGGCAAGACAAAAGTTTTTTTATTGGGCCTGGTCCTCAGCCTCAGAGACTAAGCAACCAAGACTCAACCCTCACAGCCCAGATCCAAAACTAACTACTGACTGCAGGACTCTGTAGGGCCCTTCTGATGGGCCATTTTAAAAAGGTACTCTCATTGAAGTAATAATTACATGTGGTAAAAAAAATTCAAAGAGGTTGTCAGGGTATAGAATGAAGGGCATGCCTTCCTTTACACCCTTCTGGGCTGACCCTTAAATGCACTTCCCAGGGGAAAATCAAAGTTAAATTTATTAAACACTCTTCCAGAAGTCTTCACACATACACCAACACACAAAACAACAATTGCTAACCTGTACATAATATTTACCAACCACTGAAATAACAACATACACTCATTCACTTCAACCTTGCAAAAACTACTGAAATTAGTCCTGTTATAATTCCCATTTTACAGATGAAGAAACTGAGACACAGAGAAACGTTAAGTCAAATAACTTGCATAAGACCACATAGGTTGGAGTAATGAGGTCAGGATTCATATCTCGTCAACTTGGGTCCAGAGCATATAAATATAAACAATCAGACCATGTCTACTGTTCTGCATCTTGCTCTTTCTCAATGTATTTTAGAGTTTTTTCATTAGAAGCACATTTCTAATGTCATAATAGTGTTCAAGGTCTGTATTTAACCTCTCCCCTATGAGACATTTAGTACTAGCTTTTTTGCCAACACCTAATACTACAACAAATATCCTGAGACATGTCCTGGACACCACTGTGGGCATGCTCCGGCAGAATCCTGAGAAGTAACAAATGGGATGATATTGCCATTTCCAGCCCTTCCACATTAAAGGTGGTATGGAGTAGGGAAAAAAACCTGGGCCTAGCTGACCTGGGCTGGAGACCTCCCAGGCTCCTTAGCAGCTGTGTGAGGAGTTATCTCGCATGGCTTTAGCTTCTGGTTTAAAAATCAGGGCTAAAACCTGCCTCATAGGGAAGGTTGATCAGTGAGGTAAAACAAAGGATATGAAGCACTCAGTATGCGCCTGGGCCAGAGCAGGTATGGGAATCATTCATGTGAGGGAAAGACGAACCAGCACGGTGTAGCTATAGGACTTACAAGACCCTCGCTCCAGGCAAAGCATGTAGGCCATCATTTTCTTCCAACCTTATTCCAGAAAAGTGGAATTACTATTAAGTGGTCATGAATGAATGCAGAAATAGAAAGCAGAACCTAGAAACTGCCTCATAGGGAGTTTGCAGGACTAAAAAATCCAGAGGAGGAAAGTATTAGCCTGGGCGGGGTACCACAGAAAAGGGTCCTCACAAAGAAACTGAGCACACAGAATGGCACAACCAAGGAGCAACAAGGACCAGGATGGATCTTAGCCTAAATACAGTGCTCTCCACTGCAGGAGAGGAACCAAACTCTGCTATCAGTGTGCTGCCCTACCATGTGCTTCAAAAAAATAAGCACTTGTCTCCAGCACACTTGACAAGGAAAAACCAGCAGACCTCAGGAAGTGGAGTGGCCTCTCCAGCTTCTAGTTCACATCCCTAACAGCTGTGTCACAGAGCAGACATCCTGGAGGAAGGCCCCGAGACCTCCCCCACCTCATCCCTACCTGACCAGGTTGATATGGGCTTTCTCCATGACCTTAAGCCAGGCCAATAGTGGTTGTAAGTCATTCTCACTTGGGACGTAGTCATACAAGGCCTGGAGGGGGAGACAGAATAAGCAGAAGACTGAGCAAGAACAGTCAGCAGACCCAGTGATGATGACCCCTTACTACCCTCAGGGCACCAGGAATGTCTTGGCCAGAACTCAAGCCCCCTTGGCTTTTCCTGCTCCATCAAGTCCTGCTGGTTCCAATGCTCTGGAAGTAGAGCTCCAGGAGCAGGAGTTTGGTGTCTCACACACCCTTTGAATCTGACAAAAACCAGAGCCCTTCTCTGGTGAAATACATGTGAGTACACACACATTTTGCCAACAATTTTGAGGGATTTATGCCCCCTTCCCAAACCCACCCACAGATCTCAAGTTACCAGCACTGCTCCAGTTAACTATGAACAGGTCAGGTTAGAGTTCATGAGGTTAATTAGGTCAATAAAGTCAGGAGGGGCTGGGGATGTGACAGAGTGCTTGCCTAGTGTGCACAGGCCCTGGGTTGGATCCCTAGCACCTCCAAAAAAAGAGAGAGAAAAAGGCGAGAGAGTCAGAGCCCCAATTCCTGTGGATATTGATGCTAACTTTGGTGGCCAGACTCCTGACGAAGGACCCGTCTCCCGTCTTCCTCCACCATAGCAGCCCAGATCATTTCACCCTCATTCTGCAAGCAAGCAGCAGGGCCAGCACCCTCAGCACAGCCTCTTAAGGGGCTCACCCAGCAATCACCCCCATCTCCATTTAGGCCTCACCGTGATGACTTGTGCGTTGAGCTCTGCAGACAGGGTGCCCAGGCTGGGCTTGGCATGGAACAGGCTGTGGAAGGCCTGCATGGCACAGGCTGTCACCAGCTGGAGGAGACACACACGCTTAGAGGAAACTGCAAAGGCTGTCCTAGGTCCCTTGACCTCCCATTCTACCCAGTGGGCTAATAAGGAAGCCACAGGCCCCTTAAAACCCTGAACATGGCCCCATACCCAGATGCTCTGTCATTTTAGAAAGACAGGGTGGCAGCCACTAGAAAAGATTTTAAACAATTTAGGGACTGGGGATGAAGCTCACTGGTACCTAGCACGCAGAAGGTCCTGCATGTGGATCCCAATGCCACACAAAATAAAACCAAACCAATTCAAATCTTGAAAAAATTTAAACAATGACAAATGTTTTCAACTAAAACCAAAAAAGCCAGGTTGGGGCATAGCTCAGTGACACGGCACTTGCCTAACATGCGTGAGGCCCTGGGTTGGAACTCAGCACCATTCTCTCACACACTCTCTCACACTCACTCACTCACACACACACACACACACACACACATACACACACAAAAGCAGACTACAAATGGTATACCACAATTATAACTATATTTAAATATTTTCTAATATATGTTTAACCAAAGAGAACATGTCCAAACATATCAAATATATATATATGTACATGTGTATATATATATATTTTTTTTTTTTTTTTTTTTTTTTTTTTTGGATAAGGCACATTGAAGCACACCTGTAATCCCAGCTACTCAGGAGGCTGAGGTAGGAGGATCACAAGTTCAAAGCTGGCCTCAGCAAGGGGATGTGGCTCAGTAGTTAAGGGCCCCTGGGTTCAATCCCTGATACCAGAAAAAAATAATTTGTTTTTTCTTTTTTAGGTTTTGGGGATTGAACCCTGGGGCACTTTATCACTGAGTTATATCCTCAGCCTTTATTATTATTTTACTTTGAAACAAGATCTTGCTAAATTGCTGAGGCTGGCTTAGAATTTGTGATCCTCTTGCCTCAGCCTCTTAAGTTGCTGGGATCATAGATGTACACACTATACTAGGCTTACTTTTTACTCCACATAATTTCAAGTAATTTTTTTCCTCTCGAAACAATGATCGTGTCATTAATAAGTTTTTAAGGGGCCGGGGTGGTGGCTCAGTGGTAGAGTGCTCGCCTAGCATGCATGAGGCACTGGGTTCAATCCTTGGCACCACATAAAAACAAACTAATGTATCTACCTAAAACTAAAGATACATAAATAAATAAATATTTTTTTTTAAAAAAAAGGTTTTTAAATGCATATATGAACACTATAAGAGAATATACAAATTTCAACACAACTCTGCCAGGCTGGTGAAATGGGATTTGTTTCTAAGTCTAAAGCTGCTATACTGACACGCTAGTAAATAAGCAAGAATAATAAAAAAAAAAAGGTCTAAAGCAGATATAACTATGACTCTGGCTGAAGAAGAGCTTGAGGGGAGCTGATGCTTTACAAGTCCCACTACCAATCCAACCTCATTCTGACCCAATCTCTAAGAGGAGCTTTCAACTGTACCAGGGCTCAGATGGCTCAGCCGGTCCCAACATTGTGGTTGATAAGGTGTCTTTGTTTTAGCATAAGAGTAGTAGAGTCAGGGCAAGGAGATCCCTGGTCCTGCTTTTTTGTGGGGACAAGGTCTCAGTATGCCCAGGATGGCTTCAAACTCCTAGGATCAGTTGATCCTTCTGCCTCAATCTTCTTAGTAGCTGGGACTACAGGCACATGCCATCACATCCACTTTTTGCCCGATCAGTGAGCTCCCCAAATACTACCACCATAGGCCCCCCTTCCTTCCTGTGGCCTGAGCTCACCACATGACTCAAGGTCATGACCCGCAGGAGAGTCTCGCTACAGTTCTTCACTAGGCCTTCTGGGAAGCAAGGCAGCACATCCTTCAGCAGCGTCAGCATGTGCAGAGTAGTGGTGGCCTCCTTGGAGCCTGGCAGACCAAGGGGAATTTTTATTATTGATCCTCCTCCACTTCCCATCCACCTGCCCTCAGGCTGGCTTCCCACCTCCAGACTTCTCAATCTCCTGGACGCAGAACTTGGCAGTGGAGACGGCAGCAGGATGGTGAGCAGGGGCTTTTTCACCAAACATGAATTCACTGCCCTTAAGAATTGAGCATACTCCATGCTGGGCAGCCTTCCGGATCTGAGGAGCAAGGAAAAAGGGGGACAAGGCCAATCGGCATTATGCCAACATCTTGGGTGGTTGGCAAAATCACAACCAAGCTTTGTTTTGTTTGCAGTATGGGGGATGGAACCCAGGGCCCTGTACATGTTAAGCAAGCATTCCAACACTGAGCTACACCCCCAGCCCTATTTGCTTTGAGATAAGATCTTGCTAAGCTATCTGGGCTAGCCTCAAATTATGATCCTGCTGCCTCAGCTTCCCAAGTAGCTGAAATTATAGGCATGTGCCACTGTGCCTGGCTCAACACCAAGCTTTGACTGACTATGTACTATGGACCCAGTGCTAAATCAGGGCCTTCTTGTGGTTGACTCCTGAGCTCTCTACTGTTTCATCTCTGAGTGTGACTTCACCTTTTAGATAGAGATTTATTCATTCAATCATCCAACAAATGCTGAGTGTCACCCAGCCAGGCACTGCTCTAGGTATGAGCAAACCAGCAGTGAATAGGGCAGACAAATCACATTCTACTTGAGACAGAAAAAGCAAAAGTAGCTGGGGATATGGTTCAGTGGGAGAGCCATTACCTAGCATGCATGAAGACCTGGGTTCCATTCCCAGTACCACAAAACAAAACACAACAAAGACAAAACGTTACACTATGCACATGTATAAATATACCACAGTGAATTCTACCATTTTGTGTATCTATAAATCACCAATTAAAAATATATAATTGAGTGGAAGGTAGACAGTGAGTAAAAAAAAGGAGAATAGGAGAGAGGAGAGAGAAAGGGGGGTCACCAGGGACTGAAAGAGAGGAAATTAAATTCCATGCAAGTATGATTATATTAAAATGAACTCAATTATTATGTTCAGCTATACTGTACCAACAGAAGCAAAAAAGAAAAAAAACAAATATACATCAGAAGAGAAGAAGTAATCTGAAGATAATAAAATAGGGTTGCTACTTTGCTGTTGTTGTTTTTAGTTGTAGATGGACACAATACCTTTATTTTATTTATTTTTATGTGGTGGCGGGGATCGAACCTAGTGCCTCACACTTGCTAGGCAAGTGCTCTACCACTGAGCCACAACCCTGGCCCCTAGGGTTGCTACTTTTTATAGGGTGGTCAGGAAAGTATCAACCATTGAAGTAACATTTCAAGCAGAGACCTAAATCTGGTGAGGGAAAGATGTGAACACATATGTAAGGAGGCATTAGACTCTGGGCTCACAGTGCTTAGCACAGTGGGGAATGCTGGCAATAATTATTATTATATACCTTCTGCCTTAAATTTCTGGAGGAAACAGAGAGAGGAATCACCACTTTCTAAATACCTGCTTATAAGCCTGGAATAGCACCAGGCCTGTGAACACTGGAGAGTGCCCATGACCCTGCAGCAAGGTTGGGATTCTTATCCCTATTTTATAATTATGAAGCCATGGTTTAAAGACTTTAATTTAACTTGTCCAAGGTGACACCACAGCGGTGACTCCAGAACCTCTACAGTGCTATCCTCCCTGCCAAGGTAAAGAAACATGTTGGGAGACCGATGTGTCAACAGGTCACTCAGTCTCATCACTGCCTGAAGAGGTACCAGAGAGACTCAGAAGGGCCTGACAGTAAACTTGCTGCTGGAGAAGGGGCTGTCCCTCATCTTCCAGACTCATGCAGTTGATTTGGAGACATGAAATATAGCCTTGAACAAAAGCTCCTCAGGGGCTCCTCCCCAATATCTTCAGAGAGGCTAGCTTCCCTCCCCATTCTCTGGGGACCTAGCAGTCTCACCTTGGGCTTGGCATGCACAGTGAAGCTCAGCAGCCCATGGTACACCTGAAGAGTCACAGGATAGCCCCAGGCTTCCAAGTCTTGCTTCCGCAAAAGGGTGGCCAGGCAGGAAAGGACCTTGAAGAAGAAAGTCAGAGTTTCTCAGCTCCACCAGCCTCATCCAGGAGGGAAACGAGGCCGGATTCTCACCAACTAAAGAAAATGCCCAAGGGATCTGTCTAAGGATCCACAGAGTGTCTAAACACCTCCCAGGGGATAGCTACACTTTAACCAAACCCAATGGGCTCTAGAACACACAGACACTGACCCATCGGAGGGCAGAGGTGGAGCCGCTGCTAGCCTGGGCAGACATGATGTCCATGAAGGCCTTGGAGGTATCAGAGAACTTCTTAATGAGTACAGGGCTGGGCACGCTGTAGGAACAACAGAGAAAGTCACCCCAGAGAGGCATCTGAAAAACAGCTGGTACAGGCTTTGGTGGTACAAAGGAGGAAGCTGGACCCAGGAAAGGGCACGGCTGGCCCAGCCACTCAGCTAGTGGACTAGAGTCATACTTCCTTACCCTGGGTTTGGCACACTTTCGACTATACCTGAAGTCCCAGTTCCCTCACCTTCTCCCAGCACCCACAAGATGGGTCGCTATAAGCTCACTTGAGTCTTCGCAGCCCCTCTCTAGCTGCACATCTCCACAGAGCCTGATGCCAACATTCCAGTCCATTTCTCCTGCCCTCCTCATTGCTCCAGGGTTACCCCCTCCCCAGGCACCAGCATTCACTCCATCGTGTGACAGCCCAAGTTAGGTCCAGAGCCCAATGTTGTAGAATGCTACCAGATATTCTTTAAATTCTGATTTTAATTTTTAAATTTCTAATTGTGCTAAAATACACATACACAGAATTTATCTTAAACACTTTGGAGCATACAGTTTGTTAGTTTTAAGTATATTTTCATTATTATGCAACCAATCTCCAAAACACTTTCATCTTGAAAATCAAGTACCTTACTTAAAGAACAATTCCCTAACTCTGTTCCTCCTGTCCTCATTCCCAACCCCCTCCACAAAGAGACCTAGCATTCAAGCAGGAATTGGGACTCACCGCTTCAGGACAAGGTTTAGTAGGTAAGCAACAGCAGCCAGCGACTCTGGGGACTCCACTGCTTCCATTGTTGTCATCTGAAAGCCAGATTGAGGGAGTGAATGGATAAAGTGTCACACTACTCAACAGGAAAGCAAGAGGGAATAGCCACATGCCCCCCAAAAATAGTTATGAACCAGAACCATGGTTTCAGAAGTTCAGATACCAGTTCTGCCATTATGTAACTTTGGCCAAGTACCCTAACCTATTTGTGACTCAGTCATTCATTTGGAAAATGGAGATGAGAATAGTATCAGTTGCAAAACGACATTTCAGTCAATGATAGACCACATACAGGACAATGATCCCAAAAGATCATATCACCTAGTGATACTAGAGCTGTCTTAGTTTGTGTAAGTACACTCTATGATGTTCATACATGAGGAAATTGGCCAGCAACAGTTTTCAGAAGGTATCTTTGTTGTTAAGTGACACATGACGATGCTAAAAGCCTGTTAAGTTGTGAGGTTCAATTGAATTAACATATGTAAAACACTAAGAATATTACCTGGCACATGATAAACCCTATACTGCCATCTTATTTACTTCATTTTTCTGGAAAAGGGATTGGCAACTCCCCCCTCTCAAAAAAAGTTATTTCTAAATAATGAATATTTTATACTTTAGAGGCTAACATGATCTTTGTTGCATATTCTTTTTTGTATATGCTTAATAATCTTTTATAAAATGTAAAAATCATCTGGACAAAGTGGCACACACCTACAAGCCCAGCTACTTAGGAGACTAAGGCAGGAGGATTGCAAATTCGAGACCAGCATAGGCAATTTAATGAGATCTTGCCTAAAAAAAAAGGAGATGGGGGTAGGGATGCAATTCAGTGGTAGAGCACTCCCAGGTTCAATCCCTAGAACCAGTAAAGAAAGAAGAAAGTAGTAGCCAGGCATGGTGGTGCACGCCTGTAATCCCAATGACTCAGGAAGCTGTGGCAGGAGGTTGAAAAGTTTGAGACGGGTTCGGTGATTCAGTGAAACTCTCTGCAATTTAGTAAGGTCCTCTTTCAAAATGAAAAATAGAAAGGGCTGAGAATGTACTCAATGCTAAAGCACCCTGAATTTAATCCTTAGTATGGGGGCGGGGGAAGAGGGCAGGGGGAAGAACAGTGGACTTTTGTGTTACAAGAAAAAATACCTACAGCCTTACCAAGTTGCCTGAGCACAATGGAAGCACTTTCACCTGTTCAAAGTTGTCCTTTTCTGTCCCTATAGGCCAGGGACACCTGTCTGCTCTCTGTAGTCTGACTAACCTATTGAACCCCCAGGTGCACGCACTCACCAGAGCAGCAAAGTACTCAGTCTCCGTCTCCTTCCCTCCCTGGGAGCGAATCACCTCGGTGACAGCAGCCAGAACTGCACAGATCTGCAAGAGGAAGAAGGCACCTGTGATATATCTGGAAGCCACTCCGATCTGGGTTGGCTTCCCTTTCTTCACAAACTAAAATCATAAAGCCTAGAGATGGATAAGCACTCAGAGCTGGGGTACACCCCATAGGTCTAGCAAACTGAAAAACTCAGAACATGAATACTAAAACTTCACTTCAAAGACTCCATTTCTAATGAAGGAAAGGGAGAGGGAATGAGAATAGGAAAGACAGTAGAATTAATCAGACATTACTATCCTATGTACATATATGATTATACGACCAATGTAATTCTACATCATGTACAACCAGAAGAATGAGAAGTTATACTCCATGTATATATGTCAAAATAAATTCTACTGTCATGTATAATTAGAATTTTTTTTCAAAAAAAGAATCCATTTCTTATAGAAATACCTGCCTAAAGGTGTAAAAGATTTTTGCACAAGTATGTTCACTACAACAAATTGGAACATTCAAGCAGTCATCAACAGTGAATTAATAATTACTATTATTATTTGATAATGACAAATTTAAATGCTGTACAGTCATTGAAAAGAATGAGTTACAAATATGTACTTTCAGTGTACTTTCTATACTGTTCAATGGGGAAAAGTTGGAGAACAATGGACATAAAACAATTATATTTTGGTAAATCCAAATAACCAAATATAGTAAAAAATACACAAAAAAACTCCTAGAACAGTAATGTTGACAAGAACTAAATACTTAAAATGTAGCTGCTAGGACAAAAGAACTGAATATTTCTTTTTCTTTTTTTTCATTTTTAATTTTTTTTAGTTGCAGATGGACACAATATCTTTATTTTATTTATTTTTATGTGGTGTTGAGAATCGAACCCAGGGCCTCATGCATGTGAGGCAAGAGCTCTACCACTGAGCTAAAACTCCAGCCCCAAGAATAGAATATTTTTTTAATTCTAATTAAATTTAAAAACTAATACTTGGGCTAGGGATGTAGTTCAGTTGTCAGGCATGCATGTGTGAAGTCCTGCATTCAATCCTCAGCACCAAACCAGCAAAAACAACAAACACTTGATCCAGTTTTTGGGAAACATATACTTAGAACAACCTGGTATGTAACTCTACTTTTGCAACTGTAAATGTTAAAATCAAGTATTTCCAATAAACCGCCCATTTTTTATTTTGGTACTGGGGACTGAATACAAGGTGCTTTACTACTGAGTTACATCCCCAGCTCTTTTTATTTTTTATTTTGAGAGGGTCTTGCTAAGTTGCTAAGGGCCTCACTAAGGTGCTGAGGCTGGCTTTGAATCTGTCATCCTGCCTCAGTTTCCCAAGCCACTGGGATTACAGGTATGTGCCACCAGGCCCAGCTCCAATAAAAATTTAATATGCAAGTGTGAAAATACAGGAGTAAA